GGCTTCGCCTTCCTGCAGCTCTCCACCATTGTGGTGAGACCTGCCGCCTCTGCTTCTGGCCAGGAGTGGTGGGTGTGTGTGTGAGCGTGGGTGTGAGCGTACGAGGGTGTGAGTGTGTGCACGCTTGTGAGTGTGAGTGCGAGGGTGTGAGCATGTGAGATCAGCATTTGGAATTTGCATAAGGGGAGGCATTGAGAGTATTGTGGTTTATTTCCTTTTAAAATGTTTTAGATTTTACATAAAAATCTGGATGTTTTAATTTTGCATCTGTTGACTACAGGACCGTATAATGACTGAGAATCGTGTGCTGTGTAGGACTGTTTTCTTCACACAGGAGTGTATCGGTCCTTTACAGAACTGTGTGTGCAGTAATATTTCCCACATTCTGCAGGAATCAAATATTATTCTTGCATTTGTTTGTTTTGTAATAGTGACTACATTAAGCAACAATATTACTGTGTCATAAAATAAGAAAATGTCCTTCAAAATCAGGTATTTTTTATTGTCATAAAGCTAGTCTCTACTGAATGAAAATTTTACTATAGGACAACTAAGGAAAAATCCCACGCAAGTGTATATTGGACGAAAGCCAAGCAGTATGCTATCTTACTGTTCAAAGTTCAAATCCGTCTCCAAATAATATTTGTAAACGGGAAGTCTGGCAAGTTGTGAACTGTGGTGTGAAGACACTTCCAGAATTGTTAACTTGCATGCTTTTAAGTCCCCTTAATGGCAGTTTTATTTTTTTTTCCAAAAGGAAGTACTTGTTATTTTGGACTTCACTGCGTCGATCCCATTTTTACAGTCTTCTGTGTCGCACAAGCAGAGCTTGAGATACAGAAGGCAGCTATAGCTCCTATACTGTACTTTTGTAAACAAAAGGCTTTTATCCAGATAGATTCATACACGTTTGTAGAACCGGGTGTTGTACTGGCACGATCCAAGTGCAACACGCTCACTCTTTTTTTACGATAGTTTGATTAACACATTTTACATATGAGTGTTCGTTTCTTGGTATGTGCAGTGAGAGCATGTGAAACTATGCACATATCCCTGTCGGTGTTCCCTGGCGGTGAATGTGGTCGTGTCTGTGCTGTATGGTTTGTTTCCTGCGGTGGTCACGTCATGCTTCAGGCATTCCTGTGGAGGGAAAGATGTTTTTCTATGAACCTCAGGTCCTCAGAGTGCGAATCGTCGCCTGTCTGTAGAGTAGCACCACTTCGTTTTCCTCTTTGTTGTTTCTCCTTCTTTCCTTCCTACTGTTTTTTTAAATAAATGAATATTTATGTGTTCTGTATATTTACCTTTACTGTTATTAACGTGTTATCTGTAGTTGCATCTACAGTTCTGTTTAGTAGTAGCCTGGAGAGCCTGTCTTTACTGCTGTGTCATGTTGTTCACAGGAGGCATCTCAGCTGCTGCAGATCCTGCAGGCTCTCCAGCCGCCCCTCAACATCGATGGGAAGAGCATCGCCGTTGAGTTCGCCAAGGGCTCCAAGCGGTACGGTGCTCCACCTTGGAGCCAACTTGACCCCATGGAGAGGCTTGTGGGACCGATGAGGGGAGGACATTGGACTCAGGCTGGTGTTGAGTGTGACTGAAGCCCCTGTGTGACAGTCGCTCTCTCTCTCTCTCTTCCAGCGACGTTTTTCTCACAGACAACAGCCGGGTCAGTGCTGCCACAGTGGCCAGTACAGCCATTGCAGCTGCTCAGTGGGCTGTAACTCAGGTAACTACAGCTGTACAGCGGGGGGGTCACTCAGGAAATGCAGCTGCTCAGTGGGGTCACTCAGTCAGCCTTGCTGATTGTTTCTGGCACTGGCCATCCTTGGAGAAAGACCATAAAACTACCACTAACATTCACTCGAAGAGAAGAGACTGGTTTGCTAGTAGCTTATAGATTCTACATTTCATTCAGATTTGTTGAAGGACCCCAGAATGTTTCCTTTCAGTCTTCCCCAACTCTGCGTAAAGCACATCATCTTTCAGACACGTTTTCCACATTTCCATTGTGTTCAGATTCTGCATCTTCTCGTGCAGGATGTGTCGTTTTGAGCAGCACAGATGTGCTGCTGAGGTCACTGATGTGGTTGATTCTCTTGCAGACAGCTCAGACGGCAGCAGCAGGTGCCCAGAGTGCCGATTACAGCCTGTACCAGCAGGGGGCACTGTATGGGGAGACGCAGGAGTATTCACAAGCTTACGAGACGCAGAGCAATCCACATGGGAGCGGCACTGCTGCGGGCGCTGGGCTGATAGGGTCATACGTGGCCACAACTCAAGGTCAGTACCGGCAAATATGTACACTAGTGGGAAACGGAAAGAAACCTTTCTTTCCAGTGCATCTGGGGTTCGGAGCGCATCCTTGCCAGCACATTGAAGGATAAATTGGCACTTTTCCATTCACTTAGCTGACTGCTGCACCTCATGTACCACCACAGTGACCACAAAGTAGGTGCAGCCTTGCGCTGATAGAGAAAGAGCCATTTTCACTTCCTGTGTGTCCCACAGAGCCTTGTCAGAGAGGGGACCTGTCACTCCTCAGACTGGTGCTGTGTAGCTCTTTCTGAGAGCCCTGCAAGCTCACGGGTGCTCAGCAGATGGCAAGCCTGCTGTTGCACTACAGCTCAAAGGCACTGTGGCCAACCTGAGCCTGTCTGAGGAATCCTGCTGTCTGCTTGCCAGTGACAGAGCCCAGACTAGATCGATGATGTCTGGACTGATGGGCTGCACAGAGGATGTGACCATGTGCTGTGATGTGCTGTGCCACAGCATGTACCTGTATATATTTATGCGTGACTGCAACTCCTTTTACATTACTTTTGCTGAATTTAATATTTGAATGTGTTTTCTGTCCCTCTGAGACAGCAGCGACAGTCTCTTCAGAGCCAGAGGTGCCTGGTGTGGATCCTGTACAGCTGCCCCAGACAACAGCAGCTCAGACGCCCATGGTGACCACAGAAGCCAGCACACAGTCGGCCCAGGTACCCACGCAGGACTGGCTCTCTGTCATTTACGCAAAGGCTTGCAAGAGACTATAAAATACTTGCTCTGTGCTATAAACAGTATTAGGACATTGCAGTGGGATAATGTTTCCATTCCTTTTTCTAGTCCCCTTGCCTGGTTCAGGGCTGTGGGGAAGCCAGACCCCATCTGGCAAGGGGGTTTGCCCTGGACAGGTTCCAGAGGGAAATACAATGTGTTGCTACAGGCCAGAATGCTCCGGTGTCAAGTCGGTGTTGCGGCAGGAAGCCGTGTCGCAGGGGTGTAATAGAGGACAGGCCCGGCTCTCGTGCAACTGAGGCTGGTGCGTCTGCCTGGCCCCGCAGGCCGCAGAGGCAGGGCAGCTCTGGCCACAGCGCTCGCTGGAAATCTGCCACTCTGTCTCTGTGTCGGGAGAAGAAGGGTGTCTGTTTGATTGGGGTTTTCAAGATTTGATTCTGTATGTATGAGAGGTTCTGTCGGTGACTCTCCCAGGCTGTCCAGTACACCCAGCCAGCCACAGCTCACAAGACAGAGATCATCGGCAAACCCCAGCCAGCCGCCAGCAGCCAGCCTGCCACCCCTGGCACTCCCCTCGAGTACCAGCAGTACCGTGAGTACCCCCCCCCCCAGAGGGCCTGTTCCCTGTCCGGTTGGGAGGCTACCGATAGGGGATACCTTGTGAAAAACAGTAGGCCATGCTTTTGTGAGGCAGCTGAAAGGTGTCTCTCCTGTCTTACTGCAGGATGCGTGTCCTTATTGCAGTTTTTAATTTCCTGCCACTAGGGATTTTAAAAGGATAAAGAATGGTGCTCATTTTGAGAGATGCTCAGATATTGTGCTTCATGAGCTTTTGTATTCAGAACTTCATACACGTCATTCATTCAGTGGTCTTGCATGATTCCAGTAAATTATTAATTCAATCAGGGACCTCAGAAAATAAATCTGTGCACGCAAGCAATGGGGCATCTTTCTCATTCCAGCTGTTCCAGATGTGTCTACCTACCAGTACGACGAGACTTCAGGCTATTACTACGACCCCCTGACTGGTCTCTACTATGACCCCAACTCCCAGGTGCACCAATGTCCTCAAACTTTTAGGAGTTTGTTTGAAGTACGGCTATGTGTTGCTCTCCAGAAGAATTACATTAAAAACTGACAAAGGCACTGAACAGACTGACCAGCCTTCCGATTCCCAGGGTCTTCTGGTTATTGATCTGACTCCTGGCCCTTTTGAACCCTTAATTGACCTAAAGGTTGCCTCCTCAAAGCTGAAAGTGAACTTGGTATATTTTATAACATTGCTTCTTGTTTATTTAAAAAGTTGTTAATTTGCCCATCTTTACTTTTGCAAAGTCAATTAGGACTCGGCTTTAATAAAACCATAAGCCAGAATTTAACGAGTGCCGCTCTAGGCCGTACCAGGGATGAATAGCTTAAACTGAGGGTCTCTGCTGTCCTTGTTCCTCTGCAGTAGAACTAGGGTCTCTGCTGTCCTTGTTCCTCTGCAGTAGAACTAGGGTCTCTGCTGTTCTTGTTCCTCTGCAGTATAACTGGGGTCTCTGCTGTCCTTGTTCCACTGCAGTATTACTTCAATGCCCACACTCAGCAGTACATGTACTGGGATGGTGAGCGCCGCACCTACATCCCTGCTGCCCAGCAGGGCTCTGAGGCCCAGCCTGCAGCCGCGTCCAGCGCCACTGTGCCCACACAGACTGCTGCCTGTAATGCGTCCACCAAGGAGAAGAAGGACAAACCCAAGACCAAGACTGCCCAGCAGGTACCTGCCCAGCAGGAGCAGCTGTGAAGGGAGGAACAGCCACTCCGGAGCTTCTTATAGCCTGAACTTTCATTTCTTAATCAGAAATCCTTAGAATATCCTTAGAATAGTTGATGATGAACTGGAAGAAAGGTCTGCAGAGTTGAGATGTGTGCTCCTGCTGTGCTACACTATATTCTTACTCTCTGCAAATGCACCATGGCCGAGAGTATTGAAGTGTTTCTTCTGCATCACATGTGAATCTTAATTTATTATATATGCCCATTTGAACATTATTCTGCTTTATTGAAACTAAAGTCAAATGAACGGGAGGCTGCAGTACAGAAATCAGTGAGGGACATCAGGTAACATCGGGCCCTGTGTCGCCATTTCTGTCTGGTCCTTTCACAACCAAATATTTTATCAGTTTATTTTATGGTACAGAGGTGTTTCTGTTATGTGTAATTATTTTTCAGAACGGAACTCCAGAGAATAGCCGTCTGTCTTAGTGTGGATATTGATGTTGAAGCCAATTTTTGTAACTGGGCACGTGTAGATCCATGGCTGCCCGGCTTGACCATGGCCACTCTCACAGCTGGACGGCGACCTGTTTCTGTACGTTCGGTCTGCAAGCGATGAACGAGTGAAGCCTCACAGGAACTGGGTCCAGGAGGCTGCAGGGAAGTGTAGGAACAGATTCCCGGCCCTCTGCTCACAGACACCTCTCTCCTCCTCCACAGATCGCCAAGGACATGGAGCGCTGGGCCAAGAGCCTGAACAAACAGAAGGAGAACTTCCGCTCCACGCTGATGCCCCTGAGCTCCTCCCGGGAGGACGAGAGGCGGGAGTCGGCCAGTGCGGACGCTGGCTACGCCATCCTAGAGAAGAAGGTACGCTCCTGCTGGAGACACGGGCTTGGAGGGATGGGGCTTGAGCTGTGGGTCTGTGTTTGAGGCCCTGCGGGTCAGTGGAGTTCAACTGGGCACAGAGCACAGAGCTAGTCCTCAAAAGGACAAATTATTTCTTAACTGCTACATCTAGAGCACTGGCTCTGGCTTCCTCTTTCAGGGGACGCTGTCGGAACGCCCCCAGACGTTGATGGATCAGCTGAAACGCAGTGAGGAAAGAGGGGTGAGTACTCCTGTGTTCTCTAACAGGGGGCGGTCTTGCCCTGTCTGAGGACTGTCCACCCATGATTGTTCGTACCCCTGACCTCACGGGGAGCAGAAAAAACAAATCGGCAACTTAATTAAGCTGCAGCTGCTGTTTGAAAGCAAACGCATGAATGTGCTTGAGCACACCCTGCCCAACCTTGCCGAGATCTGATGAAATAAGGCTTCAGGCTCGCAGAGCTGCTGCTGCCTGGGTGTTCTGGGCTGCGTGAGCGCTATCAGCGTCCTTTTCTCGATTCCCCTGTGCTGCAGAAGAGCAGCCCGCCGCAGGGCCTGGTGGCTGCCTACAGCGGGGAGAGCGACAGCGAGGAGGAGGGGGAGAAGGGGGCGGATCGCGAGGAGCGGCTGACCGACTGGACCAAGCTGGCCTGCCTGCTCTGCAGGAGACAGTTCCCCAGCAAGGAGGCGCTGCTCCGGCACCAGCAGCTGTCCGAACTGCACAAGGTGAGGAGTAGGACCGCCGGTCCACCTGTCCCACCACTGCAGCACAGCCCACTCCCGATGGACCGGTCCAGCCGCATGATGGAGAATGATCCTGCTACAGAGGATACAGCGCTGAGTCTCTGCGCTAGTTTCCTTCATGTCTTCTGACCAATTTCTGTTTCAGCAAAACCTGGATCAGAGGAAAGCCCGCATGACTGACCAGGAGGGAGCAGACCGAGAAGGAGAGGTTGGTGTTTGTGAGTTTGCCGTTAGACACACACTGGTGAAAAGCAGCCTGCTTCACAGATAAGTTGTCCTTACAGGAACAAGCACAATAGCATGTGATATTGTTTGTGTTGTAGTGAAATATGCAGTCATTTTGTTATGTTTCATTTTGATTAGTTTGTGCACATTCTGCGATTTGGAATAAAACGACCCCTTTGTTCCCAACTGCGTGTCTTGCAGTTGCACTCTTGAAGGAGAGGAAAGAGACAAGAAAATCCGAATAGCGAACATGTCAATGCCTGAAGCTCTCGGTGCTCATTAAAATGTGGATCTGCAAGTGTTTTTCCTTTATTCTCAGCTGAGATACAGAGATCGAGCAGCAGAGCGGAGGGAGAAGATCGGGTTCCCAGAACAGTCCGATACCAAGAAGAGAAAGTACAGCTCCATGTAAGGCAGGCGTTTCATGACTGCAGTCCCGAGTTCAAGGGTCGTGTGGCGTTAATACCTTCTACATCACCCACTGCCACACCTGCAGTACTGATCTATGTTAGAGTCCAGTTTAAAACTGTAAAGAAAAACATTCAAAGCATTGCTCCTGTCCAGGAAACCAAAAAAAGAGCCTGTTCTGTGCTGCCTGTGTTGTCAGTTTATGGCTGTGCTCCTGTCCCATCTCATTCATGTTTTAAATCATTGCCAGTCACTAGCTAGCAGGACCCAAAGGTGAACAGCAGAGCTCCATTGTGCTTGTCAGTAAGAGTAAACAAAACCAGAATGTCTCCCTCTTCTCTCTCTCAGCGATGGGGTGGCGGGGAACAGCCTGGGCGCCCGGATGCTGCAGGGAGGGGTGAAGAGGAGCATGCTCGCCCGAAACATCCAGGTGGAGTGACAGGGAGATAGGACCATGAGAGACTGAGCTTTCAGCCCAGCAGGGACCAGGAGGGGCCGCTGGCCGTCGTCCACACTCCTGTTTCACGCCACCTTCAGAAGATATGGACTTGAGTGTTGGTCTGTCTTGTCACTGGTGCAGCTGTTGAGAAAATCGGCCCCTACACTGCAATACAAACTGGCATAAGTACTGGCTTTGAGTGGATCAGCGGACAACCCCTAGAGCCTCAAGGACACCTGTTTTTATGTGCCCCCAGGAGGGCTGTGCCAGGGGTGGGCTGCTGCCCACAGGCACACATTGTCCTCCCAGTGAAGCTCAGCTGAGGTGGGAGAAGTGCTGGCGCACTGTGCAGAGATGCAGCGTCTTTCACAAATTGATTAAAGGTGCTGGAGTGCATGGGGCAGTTTCGTCTTTTGTCACACTAATCTGGGAACAGATGAAGTATTTCCCTTCCCTTGTTTTATGAATTCATTCAGGTACACACTGAGCAGTTAGGGCTACAGCTTAGACTGACAAAATGGCTTTGTGGCTTGAAGCAAAAGCAGCTTCACCTGGATGGGAGTTTCAGTTGTTTGGATGAAGGGTATCCTATAAAGTTACAGCATAGGCAGCTCTAAGAGAAAAGATCTGTACCTTTGGGGGGGGGGGGGAGAGTTTCTCATGTCAGGTGCCACTGTTAACAAAGACATCACTAGAGGTTTGCAGTTTTGAGCCCATACAGTGAAAGCCACTAGCAGCCAGCAGTGTGGAAACAAGGGTATTTTATCAAATTAAAGGATCAGCACTGGAGTGAAGCTACAGAGCTATACGGCTCAAAACAAACGAGCTCCGACAGTAACACTCCACTTTCCCTGCCCGTAGCTGAGAGACCCTGGCTCTCAAGTTTCCTCATCTGCAGAGGGAACGGACAGCAGGCAGCTGGTTCCAGCTCGCGGGGGGGGGGTTCCTGGGCGCAGCCTTCTGCCAGTCAGGGTCCCAGTGGCCGGTGCAGCCCCACCACAAGCTCCTGATAGTAAGGCTCTGAAACAGAGAGCCACACACGTGTAACTCCATGCCTTCAGGGCCACGTGTTCCCCCCATCTCTTCACGCCTCCTCTGATTTTCATTTATGAATAAATCAAATGTTTTTGAGTTTCAGGTTGAAAATTTACTGGAAAAATCTTCAACCCTTGTGAATTAGTCTTGTCCATTCTTGCCCCTTTTGCATTAAAATCCAGTAACTTGCTCCCCTTACAGTATCTTCCAATACAGAACAGCCTAAAACCTTTTCCAGTTTCTAGAACATCAAGCTGCACCTGAAACCTAAGATAACTCAAACAGCATGAAGGGTATTTCCCAATTTCGCTTTGTTTGCTTTGTGCACTCGTACAGGAGCTGACTGTATACATACCAGTGTCGGGGTGCAAGTAGGAGTGGCGTAGCAGGAAGTCCAGTACAACCATGGCGCTGTTGGGCTTGAACTCTGCACTGACCAGCACCTCCTTCACCTGTAGGTGTGAGAGAGGAGTTTCAGTGCACATCCTGCTAACGCTGGAGACTTGAGCTCCTCCTTCCCCCTGTGATTTCCCATCTCCTGCCTAATGCTGTCCTCTCCAGAATATGATGTTACTGGGCCTGCGAGACAGGCATGTTTTCATTAATGCATATGCTGATACTAATTGGGAACATGATGATCACTGCAACACAAGGTGCAAATCTTGTTTTCAACATTCATTAAACCCATGTTAAGGTATAATGCGAGTCTCTAGATCATGCAGCTGCCTAGGGGACAGGCGTATTACATGCAACATAAAACATAATTGTTCCTGCAACAGACCAAAGTTATTTAGAATTCACATTGCAAATTAAAAAGGTTTAAATTTCTCCTGGTAAACAAGGAATGTCTGTCCCGGCTCTCTTCTCGAACCCCCAGCCCCATCTTGTCCCCGGCTCTCCTCTCGAACCTGCAGCCCTGTCCCCAAGGACAATGGTACTGCTGTCTGCCAGAGGAGCCCTGATTCTGCCAAGCACAAACCTGACACCAAGCCCTGGCTCTTAGGGGTTGTGGTTCTGATCCAAATGCTGTGGGAGCCGGCTGTACACACACCGTGTCGGACTGTGCTGTTCTGTGGCAGCTCTGGCAGCAGATGACTGATCGTGGTCTAATCAAGCTCTGACCTTGTCCATGGGCCACAGGTAGAATGCCTGCACCTCCCCATCTCCAATCTCTGGGGCGAAATCGTGGGGCACCTCTAGGTCAAACACAAACTGGCTCTCTGGGAAGACCCCCTCATCGTCCTCATACGTGTAGCTGAAGAGAGAAGCCAGAGGTCAGAGCTCACGCTGGGAGCAGGAATGCATATGCAGAGTTCACTCAGGACAACCCCTGCAGGGTTCTTCCCCTAGAAACCAAAACAGGCTGACAAATTTTCTTTCTAGCAATGTCTAACTTTCAGTCAAAATTGAAAGACTGCCTTCATTGTTACAAAGCACTTGTCATTAGCCAACACCTGTAACGCAGCAGAGTATAGCACAAGCACTACAAGGAAGCAAGAAAACGCACCATCAGAACAGGCAACAGTGCAATAATTCCTGTTCGATCTAAGTGGAGCAGTTAAAAAATTCACAGGCTACATATTGTTCAAATCACAGTCCTGCTTTTATTTTGGTACAAGAGAATAATCCCCTGGGTAGGGAATAAGCAATGATCATGGAAGCCCGCAGCATTCAAAATGCTTAAAATGAGTAGAAGTAGCAAGCAAACTAGCTGACAAAGTCCTAACTGCAGACTTCGGTCAGCTCCAGCAGGTATTGTACTGCAGGGATCTATTGCTTCAGGCTGAACTCCAGGCACTGACCCTGGTCAGAGCTCTGTACTCTGCAGCGGACTCTCAGTCTCTCACGCGTGTGGCTCGCTCACCTGACAGTGCTCACGGGCCGTGCCAGCTTTGCGATGCACTCTGGGATGCACGCCTCCTCCATGCACTCCTTCACCAGAGTCTCTGCGATGGTGGTCCGACAGGCCACCCCTCCGGCCACCTGTGTGGACAGCGGACACAATCACCCTCACAGGGTCAGACTGCATCCTCCAGCCGGGCTGAACTTCCCCTTTACCCAGAAAATCCCTGTAAGCTGCTTCCAGCTGGTAAAACTCCCTTAATGTGGAATTTTTGTGAACTGAAATAGAAGGTGCCTTTTCTCGCTTAGTGCTGCTGTTCAGAAACTGCAGACTTTTCGTTAGTCCACTTAATGACAAGGAGAGACCTTCTGTCTCCTGCTGACTGTGGCTCTTCTTCCTCCTTTAACAAAGCAACCAGATTCTAGAGCGGCTCTGAGTCTTTTCTCCACTGTTAACCTGCACCACTGGAGCAGCCAGCGCACAAACTCCGTACAGACAGGGAGAGCAATTGCCTTGCCACCTAAATAATGTCTAAATTAAAAATGAAACAAAATGCAAGAATATCAACCTGCAGTTCACATGATGGGCTGTGTTCTGCTCTAAACAATACCTATCAATTGCAAATGTGTTCAAGGGCACCCCTGAGAAAACGGGTGTCGGCACACACTCCTGCTGGTAGCTCTGACAGCGGTAAGGGAGCCTGACAGCTGGCCCGGCCCTTGAGCTCGGGGCTGCTGGGCCATCATGTCCTCATGCTGGGAGCAGAGGGGAGTCTGGAGGGAAAGAGTGCAGGAGGACAAGCTAGAGATGGGACATAGTTAAGGAAGGACTCTGCACCATGTTGTCCAGGAGTCCAGGGTAGGTGGGCTTGCTGAGGGACCTGCGCGCCACCCACATGGTCAGCTGCCCGTCCGCCTGGCGCGTGAACCCGTTAACATGGACGCCATAGCGCTTCACACCGAAAAGGCCTGTGGAGAGCAAGCACACACACAGACAGCGGGTCATGTGACCAGGGCCCCCAAGACAGGCCAGACTTCTGCTCAGCTCCTGCAGCTGGGCTGGGGGTTGGGATGGTGTGAAACGTGTGGAACTCCTCCAGAGGCTGCAGAGAGCTCCCATTATCACCAGAAAGGCATTTCTATAGCTCGGCCACCCAGGTCCCAGCGAGCTTGAGATACAGGAGCAGTGCCAGGAGCAGGAATTCAAGCACAGGAATGCGAGTGAAGAAGGGGGTTATGGGGGTCAGACTGTAAGACCAGAGTGGAGTTCAGCGTTTTCATCCCTGCTCTTACAAGCAGCCCCGGGAGTCTGGGGTGTCAGGAGCAGATCGGGGTGCCAGACTTACTGGTAGCCGAGCGCTCCATCGCCAGGAGGGGCTGGTCACAGCATCGCGCCATCACCTCGTACTTCTGCAGAACAGAGAGCCGTCAGGGTAGGAGAAAGCCCAGCTGCCGTCCCTACGCACTCTCCCAGCACAACAAAACTGTAAGAGGTTTGCGAGCACTTCTGAGGAGCCCACGATAAACTGCGTCCTGGAAGTTTCCTTGATCCGAACACGGAGGGATGGGGTCCCTGCCGCCTGACCTGAGGCTGGGCAGTGTGGTTAGGGGGGTTTGGGACAGTGGGGCTCTGGACAGCAGGGTTAATGGGGTTCGGGGCACTGGGGCGCAGGGCAGTGAGTTGAGTGGGGTTCGGGGCGCAGGGCAGTGAGTTGAGTGGGGTTCGGGGCGCAGGGCAGTGAGTTGAGTGGGGTTCGGGGCGCAGGGCAGTACGACTCACCTCCTCCCTCCAGCCCCTCAGGCAGCGAAACCTGTTCTCCTCCCGCAGGCAGCGCAAGACTGTGTCCACTGCTGCTGACCGCTCGGCGTAAGAGCCCAGGCTGGGGCTGAGCTCCACGCTGCCCCCCTGTGTCTGGAACACCTCCGAGAACCGGGCCAGCTCCTGCACCACCACAGGGGGCACCCAGCCCACCTGCTGCCCCGACACCACGAACGGGCAGCACTGAGCACGGCTGGATCCTGGGGAGAGGAGACAGAGTCCAGGGAGAGAGGAGAGAGGAGAGAGGAGGGGGGGGGAGAGGAGAGAGGAGAGAGGAGAGAGGCGAGAAACGTTTTCCTAAAGTTTCCCCACACAAACTCTGCACATGGAGATCTGTAGAAACATCCTCCATGTGCACAGAAAAACACCTAACAACGCTTGAAGGGCCGAGTTAGACCGATACCCATTACTAATAAACACACAGAAGAGATACAGAATAAAGTATTGGCTACACCTGAAATCAGGGCTTAAAGCATATTGATCATTGGTCTTGTAAACATTAATCTTCTGATGTCCCTTTTAATGGCTCTTAGCATGTCACTGAGTGCTTGCCTGCCAATCTGATTCTTGCAACTTTCAATGTGTTTATGAATTGAACTTGCTTTATTTTTTGTGCCCTTAACCATTTGTAATATCTGTTGATCATATTTAACATTCAGTGTGTCTTGATATGGTATGTTTTACATTGTTTTGTATTTCGCTTGTTGCCTGGTCAGTGAACTCCGCTCGTTAAAGCACAGCCTCGCTTGCACGAACTTTAACCATCTCATCCGCTGCTGAACGCCTGAGTCCTGATGCCCAGCTCTGAGGCCCAAGTGCATCTGAACTGAGTCTTATCGACTGGAGTTTGTCCTGTTTGCAAGCCAGGGGGCCAATTCTGAGTCGCCTGGCGCCAGACATAATCACAGTCTATACCCACAGTGAATCCAAATACGAATCGAAAAGTAGTCGATTGCTCAACCAGGTGACGCGCCGCCTCACCTGGCAGGTAGAAGCTGTTCAGCCCCCGGAGGAGCCGGAGAGCTTTATCGGACCAGGACACGGGAGAGGCGGCCATCTGGGTTGCAGAGCCGGCGAGCGGGCAAGCGGAACCAGGCTGGTTAAGGGGGACCAGCAACTCTTCTGCCTCCGTCACCGCTGACCCGGCCTCTTCCCGTAGCCCTTGCTTTCTGCGCAAAACTAGGAAAAAGACTCTTTAAAGTAAAACGTCTGAAAGTACAATTTTGCTGGAGAGTAGCTTTTTTTCTCAGTAACGATACGTCTGCGCTTGCTACTGAATTATTGAAATTAGTATTGAATTAGGAAGATTTCTCGGTCCACCTTAAACAGACCTCCTGTGATTGATAGGGAGTGTGTCCAGTCACCTGCTCTCTTCTGCTGGAATACCCGCCCCCTCCTCCGAGCAGCAGCACCAATCAGGACCGGGATAGTGACCCAGCTGACCTCATACAGGCGCACAGATTTCATCAACGTAATTGAGTCGCTACCTTACCGTCCGTCAGACTGATTTCACTACCTGTGCGAATCGCCGGCATTATTGCTAAATTTAGATTTTCATGTTAAAATATTTAAGCAATTTTAAATTTTAATAACCTTTTTATCATGACTGTTGAATCACAGTGTTTCCAAAGCAGCAACAACTAATTTACATGAACACAATCGGTCTTCTGCGTGCAAAGGGGTATTAAAAGTGTTCCTGAATGCTGTCTGTTCATTACTGGTTTCTATCTCTTTCTCTGAACCTCCCTCTCAGCTCCTTTATCAGAATGTCTCCTCTGCTGTCCTGTAATAGGAAACAGATCGTGTTGATCTAGGGGCTGTCTGGCAGAAGAAAACCCCCCATTCTGGCTTTCTGACAGAAAGCAGCAGCCGGGATGTATCTGTTTTCTCTCTGCCTGGCCTGGCCTGGCCTGGCCTCCCCCGCTCGGGTCTGCACCAACAGGGCCCCCAGCGAAGGGTTCCCTGCGCACGCCGGCTCACTAGTCTGTGTGGACGAGGGCTCGGCAGCAGCCTTGTGTCCCCTGTCCACGTGAGGAGAGCCCCTCTCCAGCTCCCCAAGGCCAGGCCTTGGCAGAGGAGGTCTCAGGTCTGAGGAGGCTACCTGGCCCATCTTGATGGTGCAGATGCAGCTGGATAAGACCTGCAGGTCAGTCGGCTCCGAGCTGCCCGGCGCCAGCTCCCCCTGGAGCTTCAGTCAGATTCGGGGGAAGGAGGAGGGGGACATGGGATCATTCAAAGGGCTTCTGACTTGGGAGGAACACAGTGTTTGACCTCCCTGGAGTGCTTACGGGAACAGACATATTTATCCAGAATTCCAGGCAATTTGTTGTTTTTTTTATGGGGAAATTCCACAGAAAGTCCATGCTCCGTGGGGCCCAGGGAGGGGGGGGGGCAGGCACATACAGGCAGTATAAAGCGTGCAGGCTGAGACTCAGAAAGGGAGGTGTGTCAGCAGGGAAGGACAGAGACCGTTCAGCGCTGCTCCCAGTGAAGCATCCAGCAGCTTCTCCTGGACACAGAAGAACCGGAGCTGAAGATGTTGTTGCTCTTGGTGTGCGGTGTCCTGCTTGCAGTTCAACACTCAGGTTCGTAACGTGGCTCTGTCGTGTAGTTTTCTCTTAACTCCCTGGGTCAGGTTGGACATTTGAATCTGAACTGTCTGTCTTGCTCCTGGACACACAGTGCCCCACCTTGCTCTGCTGGTCCCACAGGTCTTCTCCTCTTTCAGCTTGGCCTGGATTCCTCAGGTCAATAGCACAAGCTTTGAGTAGATAGTTTTTATTTCCTCTGTTTAAAATATTTATGGCTCAAATAAGGACATTTTTTTACATTAATTGCAAGTATGTATGCGGAATTGTGAAAATTAATATTGTTGGTGTTAGGAGTTGTGCAGCATTGCTTGTGCTCCTGGACAGACAGGAGACATACAAGGATTCTTTCTTCTGACACAGGGACACAGGGCCTGTGATAGTGCTGTCAATGTTACTGAAACAATAGCAGCTGCTGCAGTAACGGGAGGACTCCGGACTGTAGGGTCTTGGGTTCGAATCCCAGCTGGGAAACTGGTGCTGAACCCTTGAGCGAGGTGAATTCTTCAGATCACTCCACTAAATGCTGTGGCATATAAATGTGTCTCGAGGTCATTAATGTAAAGGCAAATTTGTCCTTAGTTGACTGACAGCTGTCTGGGCCTGTGTTCAGTGTCTGACGGCTGTCTGGGCCCGTGCTCAGTGTCTGAGGAGGAGCTGGCCTGTGTGTTTCAGAAGCCACGCAGGTTGCGTGTTACAGCACGTTCAGTCAGGAGACGGGCAGCTGCTCTGGCCTCCTGGGGGATGGTGTGGATCAGGACGACTGCTGCCTCAACCCGCTCTACGGCTTCGACCGGGGCGACGGGAAGTGCAGGTCCTGCCGGTGAGCCCCTCTCTGGTCTAAACGTAAAGAGGAGGCCCTGCGCTCTGGGCGGCTCTGACCGGCTCCCCTTCCGCCCTCCTGCAGCCCAGCAGCCTGGAGCCCCTGGAGCCCCTGGTCCAAGTGCAGCGTGAGCTGCCTCGAGGGGGTGCGGCAGCGGCGCCGGCGCTGCGACGGCGTGGGGGAGTGCCCGGACCCGGAGGCGCAGGGCACCCTGCAGACAGCGCCCTGTGAGGAGCAGGCCTGCTGCCCAGGTACCCGCCCGGCTGCCGAGTGACTGGATGTGTCTCAACACGATGCTGCTGAATTCTCTGAATCTCTCCTCGATCTACAGGCTCAGGTCCTTCATCGCCATCTGTCCTGTGTGCATTCGTTCAGAAGAGACTAAAGCGGTGTGTGTGTGATCTTGGGTTTGCATGTGCACAGTATGTGATAGTTTGTATTATTGTGTGTTTGACTGGATGGGTGTGTGAGTGTGTGACAGTCAGATTGCCCTTCTGACTCTGGGTAAGCTGGGCAGTATAACAGTGACAGTGACTGTAACTGAGCACAACACCAGCGCTTGCGTTAGGCCCAGAGGGCCATGGCTATGAATGCTGTGGAATATTATCTTCCTTCTTTTGTAGGAGAGTTATAGAAATTTGTTGGCTTCCAAAAATTTCTCAGGGGAGCAATGATTTTAGTACAAAATGTAAATTATTTGGTGGACAATAGTTCGTTGACATTTGTAGATTAATTGTAAAAGAGGCTGGAGGAGTGAGAGAGGGCGCCTGGAGGCCTTCAGCTCCACCGTGAGTTCCTGCCTGGGACGTCCTGGCCTTGCAGGTGCCGCGTGAAAGAGCCCCGCTGCCTGTGACCTGTGATGGTCAGCCCAGCCTCACCGTCACCGGCGTCGCGCGGGGTGTGGGAGACCTCCAGCACTCCTCCGACGGGCAGTGCTCGTCTTCCCGTCTGAAAGCCTGCATCCCTGACTCCCGTGTCCCCCCAGAGGCCGGGGGCTGGGCCGAATGGGCCCCATGGCAGCCGTGCTCGGTGACGTGCGAGAACGGGGTGAAGAAGAGACAGAGGAGCTGCTCTTCGCCGCCCCCTGCGTGCGGGGGCAGATGCATCGGCCTGGACGACGAAACTGCTGCTTGCTTTACCCAGGTGGTTTGTCCAGGTACGTCCCCCTCCTCCAGCCCCTGGCTTTCTGTCTTGGGTCAGGGCTCAGCGAGCCAAGATTTCCAATTTGCGCTCTGCAGTGGCCCTCTACCAGAACAGTGCTTGTGGGCTCCATTCGTTCAGCCAGAGCATCTGCAATACATCCTCCCCTGCATGCAAGAACCTTCTGTCCGTCTGGGCCGTGCTGCTGGCTCTCTGAAAGGTCTAATTGGCTCCTGTCTCTGTGTCTCTGTCTGTCCCAGTCCATGGAGGATGGTCTGCCTGGGGCTCCTGGTCAGGCTGTTCCAGCAACTGCCATGTCGAGGGCTCTGGAAGCTTCCCGCTGCGCAAGCGTGTTCGAACCTGCACCCAGCCGCCCCCCTCCCAGGACCCCCCAGGGCACCTCTGCGTGGGCCAGGCGGTGGACGAGCAGCAGTGCACCAGCCTGCCGTTTTGCCCCGGTGAGCAGTAGGGTCCGCAGGGGCTCGGACACACAGGCGACACACTAGGACTAGGTCACGCGCCCCTTGGGAAAGCACTGCTGAAGAAGACGCGCGATTCCTGTCAGAGATGACAGTGTACCTCTCTAGTCGGGGGCCGTCAGCAGGGGTTTGGTGAGTCTCAGTTGAGCAGCCTGAGGCGGGAGGGTTGTTCCCAGCACCAAGCCTGCAGTAAGAGCCTCTACCTCATCTATAGCTCCTCCACTGTGCTGTGCAGGCCTTCCTGATTGTGAAAGAAAGCCCACATGTCTCTTCAGTCAGGCTGGCAGGAGTCTGTGCAGATGCTGCTGACCCTCTCTCCTCTCCGCAGTGGACGGGAGCTGGGGTGCCTGGAGCCCCCCTGGCCCCTGTTCTGTAACCTGTGGCCTTGGACTGACGCGGATGAGCCGGCGGTGTGACAGCCCTGCCCCCAGGCACCAGGGCCGGCCCTGTGAGGGCAGTGACACCATCCAGTCCCTGTGCAACACCAGGACACACTGCCCAGGTGAGCAGGCACAGCAAACCACCTGCACAGTCACCACGCCTGTCCCTTCCTTTCTGTTAATCTGTCTGTCCCTCTCTCTCTGTTAATCTGTCTGTCTGCCTGTCCCCCTCTGTTAATCTGTCTGTCCCTACCTCTCTGTTAAACTGTCTGTCTGCCTGTCCCTCTCTGTTAAACCGTCTGTCCCTCCCTCTCTGTTAAACCGTCTGTCTCCCTGTCCCTCTCTGTTAATCTGTCTGTCTTCCTCTCCCTCTGTGTTAATCTGTCTGTCTCCCCCTCTCTGCTCATCTCTTGTTTCCCTCACTCCCTGCTCCATACCACTCCAGTGGATGGCTTTTGGTCAGAGTGGGACCCCTGGGACAATTGCACCCGCTTTGGGCGTCCAAGCATCAATTGTAAGACCACTCCTGGGATTCAGAAACGGACCCGGACCTGCCTGTGGACTGACTTTGGTGGACAGCCCTGCCCCGGGGACTTCATCGAGACACGAAACTGCTTTGATGTTAGAAACTGCTTCTGTAAGCATTGTCTTCTTTCCTTCCTGTCCATCTGTGAGCAGAAGCCCCAGCTTTGTGAAGCTGGTCCCTCTACAAACAGCACAATGAAACCCCCCCTATTCGTTAGAACTGCGTTTGTACCTGTTTGTGCCATTAAAAGTAGAATTTGTGCTGCAAAAGTAGATATATGCTGAGATATAGCACCTTTTGGGGGGAGAGGGTGATGTCATTCAGCCTCCCTACAATAGTGCAGCAGAACCTAATAGGTCTCACATTCGTTTGGGTCCGTTTGTAATGGCTAGTTCCCGAGATACAGCACCTTATTGTTTGGGGTATGACATCAGCCCTCCTACAACAGCCCAGGACAACCGAACCAGTCTCGTTTGTTTGTGCTTGTTTTTTATCAGTTTGTGCCTATCTTTATCTCTATCGATATATCTCCTGCGCTGTCTCTGGGGGGCTGAGAGACGTCACACCCTTGAAAAAAGAAGGCGCTCTGTCCCTCTGTAACACAAACTATTTTAAACAGCACAAATGAAGCACTAAGGAAAAGGGTGTTTCATTGTTTGTGCGGTTTGTTACTGAGACATCAGTTAGCTGAAGTTTGCTTCTCTCTCTGCCTGTGTGACTCTGTTTTTGTTTCTGTGTGTGTGTCTGTGAGCACATCTGCTTTCTGTGTTTTTGGAAAATGAATTCAATTCTTAAACCACACGTGAGTTTAAAATGCAGATACCTCCTGAGAAGCACAGAGCATGAGGCCGGCTGTGGCGGTGTGTTTCAGTGAGAGGTGCGCACAGCTGGTCGGAGTGGAGCGCGTGGGGCCTGTGTGAGCCCAGCTGCGGAGCAGGCAGCCAGAAAACTCGGACCCGCAAGTGCCAGCCGGACTACTCCAGCTACCCGTGAGCAGGACGTGTGTGTGTGTGTGTGTGTGTGTGTGTGTGTGTGTGTGTGTCTCCCCTGTACCCCACTGCCCCTCCTCCCCCGAGAGCCCCTCAGTGCTCAGTGTTCTCATCCTGCACAGGCAGCACTGCCAGTTGTTAGGGCCTGCAGTATCGCCACCAGGGTCAATGAATGCCAGTGATACAATCAACACAACATGATTTATAAAACATGAATAAATAAAACTTGAATTTGAGTTCCATTTGAATTCAATACTTATTCATTACAGGATTGCCAAAGCTCAACAACCGACACCAATTAACTGCAACAGATGATTAATCTGGGAAAGAAAAACAACTGTAGGGGCAGCTACAGTAAGTAACACAGGGTGTCAGCTCTCTCCATGTCTCCACTGTCTCATTCTCTACCTCACGCAGGAAGGAAGTGGGTTTAAAGAAGGAAGAGGTCTTTTTCTGGGGAACCCCTCGGATTCGCTGTGAAAAACTGGGTGATCAGACGGTGAAGGTGGAGCAGAAGGAGCCCTGTTATAACGTTCCAGATTGCGTGTAGCAGTGACCCCCAGGTACACCTCCACCCCCCGCCTCGGGCCGGTAGTGTGATGTTCTCTGTGTTCTCCTCATGAAGCTGCTACTACGCTCCTGGTTTGCAGTACTTCTGCCTGGCCAGTGGGGGGCTCCCTCACAGTGCCTTGAGCATGGCCAGTTTGGGTCTGTCTCATTTCTTGCTCCTTGAGTGCTGCCTGTCACCATGTAACACTAGGGGGCGGTATTCTTCTCCACAGGCAGATTACGCAATGATTTGACTGGATGTTTTTTTCTTCATTTCATTCCAGAAATGTTCTCTCAGCCTATGGAGGATTCTCTCAACCTCTGGAAGACTTGGATTTCTTACTGCATATTCTCCTTCAATATATCAGACATGTCTGGAAATATTAAGATCTTCAAACGGAGAGCCTGTGGATTAACGGAATGTACACATGTCTTTCCTTGCCTGCATCAAGGAAATAGTTTTGTTAATTGGAAAGAGAGCAAAAGTGATTTCACACCCACACAGGCCCTCTTATGGCCAGTGGCTCAAGACACGTCTCACCAGGGGCTGTGGGCAAAGACGCCAACAGAGACCAATTCATGTTTCACCATGAATTTAATGAACACCTAGTGCTAAATTAACATTCAATTTGCTTACAGGCACATCCACACAAATTTCAGTTTTCATGCAGGAGGTCTGCTGTGGAGAGGGGGAAGAGTCTGGTTGTCAAAATATCTGTAAATAAAATATACAAAAGCAACAGTACATAGCAGATGTATGTGATGAAATGTGTTGGAAACATCAATAAAAGCAAGTTAACACAAGTTCTTGGGAGAGCTCATTGGTGTTACACTGGCTTTACAGACAGTTTCACCTTGATTTGCACCACTGTAGCAGACCTGCACACAGTAAAATACATTCATGAGATATTTAGCAGGAGGTCAGCAGGTCAGCTTACTGCAACAGCAGACCCCTTGACCTGGCTGCAGGTCAGGGAGGACTTTCAAGCTAAACAGATCAGTGGGGGGGTGCGATGTTCATAAGTTTTTTCATGTTTTTGTGTTTGACAGTTAATACTGATAAGAAAGTTTCAAGCATTTACAAACAAGTCCACATGCGTGACACAGGGCTGCAGACTGGGAGCTCAGTCCATGCACGGGGCGCTGGACCGCGGATCCGGAGCTCAGTCCCAGCACAGGGAGCTCAGTCCCGCTGGACTCACTGCCCCATGGAGAATAGAGGTGGAAGCCATTGGCAGACCAGTTAGCTTGTGTAGAGTCTGAAGGCACTCCTGTGCTGCACCGCTGGTGTTGGGAAAAATGAATGAGCTGGTTTTTGTGAATTCTGGGAGCGTATCAAAGAGCACAGGTCTCGTGCACCTGATGGCCCATCATCACTGCCCTGTCAGCAGGAGTTGACCACACTGCCACGCACAGAGCAATTATTTCAGCAATAACCGCTTGTCCAGTTCAGAGTCACAGTGGCCCAGAGCCTATTCCAGGAAGCACAGAGCACAAGGCAGGATACACCTGGACAGTACCTGGGACAAAAGCTATGAAACAACTAAGCCATTCATTCTGAAATCCTTAAAATTTCATTTTAATAGCTACTAGATCATTATAAAGATGTGATTGTTCCCCTTTCTCTCTGACCAGTCTAGGTGGTGGAATGAGGTAGTACTCTTTCTCCTGAACCTGATTAGTTCACACCACACTGTAAAAAAATGCATCTTTCTGAAACTCCTGGGAGAGCAATGCAAGGAAGAGATCAGATTCCCATCACAGCTGGATCCAGCCCAGGCTTAACACAGAGAAAAGCTAAATTGGCCTTTTTTAGTTTAGTGAGCTCCACCTGTTTGTGTTAATGGCACACAGCTGGTTTAGGAGTATTGGAATTCCCATCAACACGGGTATCCCTGTGCTCCAGACGTACCATAAGAAGCCCAGTGCATTTTAGAAGGAGGTCCAGTTTTCTTGCCCTGCTCATGGGACAACTGAAGCAGAAAGACCCAGGAGAATGCAGGTCTGCAGTTTTTTATTTTTAAAAAACTCTGTTTCTACTTCATTGGTTTTTTTGCAAGTTTTTAAGTCCAGAATATCATGTGCTGTCCGTGGCTCTCCAGAGATGAGTCCTGGAGATTTCCTGGTGAAATTCCCAGTGATCCTGGTGATAAATCCCAGCAGACGCCCATGGGAGTCCCATCACCCGCCAGGCGAGCTGCAGGGCCGAGGAAGTCTCCTGGGGATTGGCTGCTTCTACGTGTCCGTCATCTCCACGTCCCCGCCCCCCTTGTCATCGCAGTCTAAGCTGAGGTCAGCGATGTCCTCCAGCGAGCTGTCTGGCGCCGGGCCGGGGTCCTGCTGGTCTCGGAAGGACACGATGGCTTGGCGGATGCAGGACACCCACTGCTGCTTGTTGAAGGAGTCGTTGGCCTGCAGGCTGTGCGCTTGGCCCTTCGATCTGCCCTTGGAGCTGACGCGGAAGAAGTTCTTGGCTGAAAGAGAAACAGAGACAGGCAGCATCACAGCCGTGCAGCCGCTGGGCTCTCCGGTCCAGGACATTTTCAGAATCACGCAACATGGTTTAGAATTGTGCTTTTGCTATCTCTCTAGTTCAGCAAAATGTGTCAGATTTCCCTTTGGCAAAACCACAGCCCAGGACGGCCTGGGCAGTAATCGTCCTGTCTGTCGTTTAGAGCAGAAGAAGAAAAGCTTCCACCCAGATACCTCGGTTTTCTTTCATAAAAAGACTTTTCCACTTTACCAACTATCTAAGCTTAGAGCAAACATCACTGAAAATATGGAAATGTGAAACCTGACTTCAAACACAGTGCAACACAGCCCTGAGCTACCCC